AAAATAAGGGTGTGGGGGGCGGGGGTACTTTTCTCAAGGCTCTAAAAATGTCCAAATGGGATGGGATAGGATAGGGGTCCTATCCTATACGGAGTACAATTATCGTAGAGGGGATACAAATATGTGGGGTACTTTTCTCACAGTCCTAAATAATGAGCATGATCACCATATGTGATACTGCGGAGGTCCTATGATGCGCATGTTCATACTTCTCATAGGGAGTACAAATACAAGGGAGGCTTTGGGTAGGCGTGATGGAAGAACCCCCGAGGCGCGGCGCACTTACCGTGAGCCAGAAGCCCTTCTGGCAGTCGACGCCCCAGCGGTTGCAGCGCGGCCAGGAGTCGGCCGCGAGCTTGCCGTCGGCGTCGTGGCCGCGCATCATGACCGTGTCGCAGGCCTTCCGGTTGCACATGCTGAAGCGCAGCGTCCCGAACGACTTGGAGAACTCCATGGAGGCCGTCACCGTCTCGCCCACCATCAGCGTCGTGCTGGGCCCTGAGGAACGGAAACCGCGTTCGCTTGAGGGGGGATACAAATATCGTGGAGCCCTAACAGGATCAGGACGGACATTCTAGTCCACCGAGACCACATGATATCTTTACACTGCATGGGATACAAATATCATGGGGTCCCTCGTACGGTCACCATGAACTCACCGTCGCACAGGTCCGGGTCCTCGTCGGAGCCGTCGTTGCAGTTCCGGACCCCGTCACACTTCTTGGGCCAGGACACCGTGTATCCGTTTTTGCACTTAAACTCGCCCTTCCCGCACGACTCTGAACGACAAAAAAATAAAATTAAATGAGAGGTTCAGTTCAAACAAACAACCCTGCCGCCAACCAACACTCTTGAAACGCGTATGGTGCCCCCGCGCCGAACGCTTCCCCAACTGAACGAGCCCTCCGCCGCCGACGTCCGACCGGGCGCCGAGGGCGGGCCGCCGGCTGCACGCAGCTGCTCGGCGGGTCAGCCTACCCCGCGCGCTGCAGGCGCCCGAGAGCGACGGGGGGCGGAGAACGGTACTCACTCTTGCACTTCTCCTCGTCGGAGCCGTCGCTGCAGTCGTTGTGGCCGTCGCACACGTCACTCTGTCTCACGCACTCGCCCGTGCCGCACTGGTGTTCGTCGCAAGTCAGGTTCTTCAGATCTGAGGAAAGGAAAGATTCTTTCTTAAAAAAGTCTTAAAATAATAAAAAAAAGACCCACAAGTTGTTGGAGACGCAACGATGGGGTGTCCATGTAGAATCTCCCTCCCGTCTCACATTTGCACTACGAATTTTAAAGTCCGAATTTTCGGCGGAAAAATTGGAAACTTTTCCAGGAAAAAATGGAAAAAAGACAAACTGTTAAGGGAAAAATTCAGGTGTTCTTTTTTTAAATTGAAATTGAAAAATTTCCCAAAAATACTTTTCTGGAAGATTAAAACCCCTCCCTTACCTTGCACGGGTCCGGCGACGGCCTTGAGGTCGTACTCGTCCCTGCGCATGCGGTAGTTGTTCTGGTGGCCGCCCTTCCACCTGACGAGCGCGATGCCGTCGGACAGGACGCCCCTGGAGATGACGACGCCCTCGGTCGGCGGGTCGCCGTCCTGGTGGCGCCACTTCCAGTCCGGCCCGCGCACCACAGGCGACCCGAACTTGAGCAGCGCGGCCGCCTGCTGGCCCGTCCAGTTGCCGGGGCCTGGTGGTCACGCCACCCAAACTAAGTGATCGGTAATGGGTCGTTTTGATGTCCAACTGACCGACTCGTGACGGTTTCGTCATCACTGAGACCACTGAGACGTTAGGGTCCGTCGATGAACTACGTGGACGGGTGGGTGGGGTACCTTATTCACGGCCACGCACAAGGTAAAAAAATACCATATGGTGTTGTCGTACGAAAAGAAGAAGCCCCAACTGTCCGCGTAGTTCAAAGCAAGGGCAACCTATTCTGCCACGATATCAAATCGATATCAACAACAGTTTGCATTAGCGAGAGAAATCTGCACTCTTTTTGCAACCGCGCAGGTAATGCCCATGCAGGCGTTTCCACTTACTGTCGCAGTCGACCTCGTCCGACCCGTCGTTGCAGTCCCTGTGCTTGTCGCAGATGTCAGTGCGACGAACGCACTCCCCACCGCTGCACCTGAAGTACCTGCACTTGAGGTCCGTGACATCTGCGAAGATATCGTAATTTTTTATTACAACTGCGAGTCTTGTTCGGTAAGGGGTTGTGCACAGACCACGTGACTTTAGGGGGGGGGGGGGGGG